AAGAGATACCTGCCACTTCATGCCGCCTGCCCTTTCCGCTGCATACCGCTCTGCAGGCTGCCATGTTGAAATGTTCTGAAGTGAAATGATTTATCTGTAGACCCTAAAGAGCAGACTGGTCATTTAAAAATCAACTGTATGTATCAAAATATCCCTTCTCTACATTTGATCTTGTTTTACAATTTTGCACTTTTAATTTTTATGTTGGTGAAAACCTTTAGGCTCATCTGGATGAAAAGTTATACTGTGTGTACCGAAGTTTGTCACCATCAACATAGGGCTGGACGATTTGGCCAAATCACGATAAAAAGTTTAAAATCTTTCCATATCGATAATCATCCCGATAACTATCATATCGTTATTTCTTTTGAGTTTAATCAACCATTTCTTGAATATTTATGGAACATTTGTTATATTGTTATTGGAAGAGAAGATATCGCGATAGTTATTGTCCAGCCCTACATCAACATTATTATTATCAACTGATCATTTTGACTAAAAGCAATCAAATAATAAATAATCGATTGCTGGGGCAGCTGTGGTTCAGTGAATGTGATGTAATGTAAAGCACTTCGATTGGCTGAAAAGACTAGAAAAGCTCTATACAAGTACAAACCATTTACCATCCTTGGCTGGTAGATGGTTGGTCACTATTTCAGCCATGATTTCTGTGTCCAGGACTTCCTGTACTGCTGCTGCGACGTATCTGTAGTGACAGAAACCCACAACTTAGCTAACATTAGTTAATTGCTGGCTGTGTCGCTGTTCGCTCTCGCGGCATCCGTCCTGGTTCTGGATTTCTCCAGAATCACATACCCCACTTTGAATCTCATCAACATGGAACAATACAAATTTATACTTTTTCTGTCTGACAAGCGTTATCTCTCATAATCAAGCAATATAATCACATGGACACACAAAATACTGAGTAACTGTGTTTTGAAGGTCAAAGGTCAACTGCAGAAGATGGGTCCACTTCAGCCAATGAACATCTTCCTGCGACAGGAAGTGGACCGCATGCAGCGAGTCATCAAGAGCGTACGGAGCACGCTCACTGACCTCAGACTGGCCATTGACGGTCAGTTACAGCAGACGACACAAAATGTCAACAACGAGACAACAGTAAGGTTACGTGTCTCTGTCTGTGTCTGCAGGCACCATCATCATGTCGGAGGACCTGCGCGACGCCCTCGACTGCATGTTCGACGCTCGGATCCCTCGCCTGTGGCTGCGGCTCAGCTGGCCGTCGGCGACGCTGGGCTTCTGGTTCAGTGAGCTGCTGGAAAGGAACCAGCAGCTCAGCGGCTGGATCAGCACCGGTCGACCGAACCAGTTCTGGCTCACCGGCTTCTTCAACCCACAGGTCGGTTCAGACAGCGTCCACGCAAGGAAGATGAGGCCTCAGTCCCGTCCAATCATCTTTACATGTGTGTCTTTCTCAAAGGGTTTTCTGACCGCCATGCGCCAGGAGACGACCCGCTCTAACCTGTCCAAGGGCTGGGCCTTGGATACCGTCACCCTTAGCAACGATGTCACCAAGATGATGAGGGAGGACGTGTCGGCTCCGCCCCCAGAGGATGTGGGCGGAGTCTACATCTACGGGCTCTTTCTGGACGGGGCGGGATGGGACCGGCGCAGCGCCAAACTCACTGAGGCCCCGCCCAAGGTTAGTCTGTTTCTACATTAATAAATTATAATAATGCATTACAAAATAAAAGCAATAAATTAATTAAAAAAGAAAAATTAAATACACCAAAGAAATTATTTATATATATATATATATATATATATAAAATATATAAATTATATGGAAAATAAAAAAATAATCATTTCATTAAAAAACTATTTTTAAAAAGTACATTATTAAAATAATAAACAGAAAATAAAGCAGGATTAAATAAATGAAAAGATAAATAAATAAAATCACAAGTAACTAAAGTATAATGTTGATGATGAACGTCACTGCTGTCTCCCCTCAGGTCCTCTTCACTCCCCTCCCCGTGGTCCACGTCTACGCCGTCAGCTCAGCCAGCATGGCGGACAGTAAGCGGCCTGCGGCGGCGGTCAGCCTGTACTCGTGTCCGGTCTATAAGAAACCGCGTCGGACCGACCTGAACTTCATCTTCTCTCTGCAGCTGAGGAGCGTGCAGCCGGCGGAGCACTGGACCCTGCGAGGCGCTGCGCTGCTCTGCGACTGCAAGTGATCCTGGACTGTGTGAGTGACGACGTCAGACCTTGTTCGGCTGCAGAGACGATGTTGCTGTGGTTCAGAAGCGTTTTAAGGGACCAAATAGGCACAAGCGTAACTTTTAGTCCATCAACTACAGATCACATATTCTACTTTACTGCTGATCATTTTCCAAATCCTCCTGAGACTTTTTGGAAGAATCTTCTTTCTTCCAATCAACCTTAAGTTTTACTTTACTTCACAAAAAGCATCCAGCTGAGATTAGGTTTTAGGCTTGTTCATGGCCCAGAAATAAAACAGCAAATAAAACACTGATGATGGGGAAATACAGAAAACAGACCCGGTATTCACCATTTTTATTATGTTTTCTAAATCATAATATAAAGAGGGATATTGCTCTTTTATTTCTTTGGGGGAACAGTTGGTTTTTGGTTTTGAGAATCTTTTTAAAGGTACTTATTATGCAGTAGAGCCCAACTGATAAATTGGAGTGTCGATTTATTGACTAGTATGAGCTAAGTGTAGATCCATCATGTTACGAGTGTTGTCGTTTCATTGTTTGTCCACCAGAGGGCGCTCTGCAGCTCCCCTGTTGCAATCACACGTTTGGATCTCCACATATCCGCCACAAAGCACAGCGATCAGCTGACATGATCAGCTTGATTTCTGTTCAAAGTACTATTAATAACGATAACAAAAGTTTAATTTTGAATTGCATTATGTCATCTTGGTGAGGTCTCATAACTATATAACGCAAGTTAGGGATAATCTTTGTTCATGTTATATGTTTTTGAAAAAAAGAAGAATATAACGGATTTTAAAATCATATACTCAAATATCAGAATCCGATATCAGTACTGTCTTTTTTCTTTGTTTGGTTTCGGTCTTTTGAGCTTCCTTCACATTAACTTTTTGGTTTGCTTATTAAAGTGTGATGCAAACTTCATTTCAATGCTTTGCATGACACCAGAGATGTTCACTAAAAACTTTTAGTCTGTATCTTGGAGTCCCCGTGTGTTTGGCTCTATGTGAGTTGCAGCTAACTGAGCTTTCAACATCTAAACTCAGCAGTGTTCACAGGCAGCTGTGGCTCTAAGGCCCCCAAAACTCCACCGTTTCAAACCACAGCGAGTTTTTACTGTTATTGTTCAGATTCCTCCCTCATCTGCTCACCAGTGCTGAACAGTTGAGCGGTGAGGAACAAGATCACAAGAAACCAACATGAGAACAGGTACAAACATAAATCATGTTTCTGGTGTCTGCAAACAACAACAACTGAACAGGGAATTTAAAAATTGAACAGATTTATCTGTATCAATATAGAATATAATATTTTGTCTGATCAATATGTGTAAATGTCAAAAACAAGTTTGAGCTCAGTTAGAAGCTCCATTACATAGTTTGTCCACCAGAAAGGAAAAACCACTGAAAAAAACCACTGAAAAACAAGGACAGACTTAAAAATGTCAAACTGAATAAAAATCACCTAAAACAAACAAACCTAAAAAGATTGTAAAAACATAAAAATCTAAACTGGCACTGAAGGACAAAAAGCTCAAAACCAAAAGCGACAGAGTGAGTGATGATCTGCGTGGGTGAACATTTCATGTGCTAAACTCTCAACTGGACACACAGATTGTACTAAATGTCAGTCTGCTCCTTTACATACACTTTATTATCAGTCCAGCGCTCAGCACTGCGATGCTCTTAAGGTTTCCTCTGTTCTCAGGAGTGAACTGTAGATTTATTTTATTTTCTAAAATCCAGATTCCAGCGCAGATTTTCTCTTGTCTTTTAGTGAGGATGATGATTTGGGTTGCAGATAAACTAATGAATCAAACTTGTAACTTCACTTTTTAAATTGAAATACTCCATATTCTAATCAACTTATCTTATCTAATCAAACAAGTCTTTGATCAACTCCCCTTTTAATTTCCTCCAAAGTTTGAGTTCCATCCTTTAAAGACTGAATCACATTATAAATTTAAATATTTTTGGAATAAATGATGTAACCTTCCGGCTGTGTGTGTGATACTGTGAAGATTAAAGAATAAATCACTATATACTAAAACCTGATGTCTGTTCTCAAACTCAGCTCGTGAACTGAGTGACGTTTTATTGAATTAACTTTGAAGAACATCATCAAGAGTTCATACAGATTTATTAACAGAGATCCAGCAGAGACGGCAACGAGAAAATTAACAATAAAATGTTAAAGAGGTCACGTTATGCTCATTTTCAGGTTTGTCATTTTATTTAGGTTTTAGGTTGTAATATCGTTGTCGTGCTGCACACTGCAGCAGCTCCTCTTTTCACCCTGTGTGTTCAATGCTCCGTTTTAGTGAAGCTATTAGCTTCTATTGGATCTTTGTAGTTAGTTACACATGCACAGTACCTAGGTAGGGACTACTAGCCGATCAGAAGCAGAGTAGGGCGGGTCCTGACAAGCTGGGTAGTGTGATCCAAAACAAAGCCGTTAAAGCCGGCTTCGGTTCATCCGTACTTGTTCGCGCCCGAGTCTGATCCTGAATCACAGGCAGAACAACCAGAACCAGCTTCAGAACCTAGACTGGATCAAGAGTTTCAGAGTGGTGAGTTATCAATCTGTAACACATTTATCTTTCATGACGTTTTAACTGAGCTCTGTCTCTACATCACAGTAACAGCTTACTGTCATTTCTTTCATTTAAATCATTAATTTCTTTTTATCAAGATTGGAAGTTGTAAAATATTCTCTAATGACACTGAAGGAAATAAAACATCTGTCTTAACTGGTTTTACTGTAATGATTGAAGAGCAGACTTCCCTTTGGTTACAGAAATGAATCAAGTAAACTTTTATTTTCTCAACATGACTATTCAAACACAATCCTGCTTTAATGCCACATCTCTGAGAAACTAGAGCCATGCAGTCACTCACTACTAAATGCTTAAAACACCAACAGTAAAACAAAAAAATCAAAGTTACAAGGTTTGCCTATATTATGAACATCAGAAAGACATACTGTTACTGCTCTCAGGTGAAAATAAAACCACACTGTTTACACAAAAACTAAATTTCCTTCCAAATGAATCAGGAATTCTGATCTTTAAGATACATTTTCCCCAGCGTGGAATAATTTCCCCAAACACCACTTAATACTGCAGCTACAAGACTGTTCGGACAATTCTCTCACTCACCCAACACTAACACACTAAAACTTTATACAGTACACCTTTTACATATTATGATAATCCATTATTTAGATGTTAATTAATCAATATTTAAAGACTTTTAAACTTGGACTTCCTTAACCGTACATAAGAAGTCTTTTACTCATGTGAGGGTGGTAAAGAATTTCTGAAATATTCCTCTGGTTTTATATAGAGCCACTGTCAGGTCCTCAAGCCACTAACTTATGAGGGGTTTATCAGCTCAATAAGTATTCAATCAATCGGACTTTTAGGTCTTACTCGGGGTAGGTGCAAATTATATACTATATATCTGGGTAGGGTCCATTTATTTTGTCTCGGGTCTGTGTGTGAATATGTGTAATACAGGTCCAGACATTTGGACCTGTGAAGACCTCTATAGGAACACACAGCCTCCCCCCCGATTGTTGTCTCCCCAGTGACACACAGATTTGAACCTTTTAACTACAATCATTTCACGTACCGTAACTCTGTTATACCTTTATCATCCAACATTTCAGCCTCATCAACATGCAGAAAAAGTGAACAGCAGCGGTGTGACGAAGTTTTGTGGAGAAGTTCTGAACGCTGAAAACTTTGTTCATTTATTTTCCAAAGTCAGTGTTTATTGAACACAAAACAAAAAAAATACGATATATATATTTGCTTATTTGATAATAAATGTCCAGAACACATATAACTGCATGTGAAATGAGCTCAATCATTTCAGGAATCTGTTTGCTTGTTGTCTTGATATTCAGTCAGGTTGGATCTGTGACCGTCCTGGTCTCTGCTCACTTCCTTCAACAGCGTTCAAACAAATGTTAATCTTCAGTATTTGCCCTCGTGCAGCTCTGCTTGGTAGCACCAACCCTAAAAACTTCTTTCCCTCCATCTGTGTGGTCTCAGTGGTCCAAAGAAAACGGCCCAGATTTTGTCGCAGTCTCACGGTTTACGATAGCTGCTTCATGTCGTACATCGGCACTTCAGACTCCTCTGCCTTGCCCTCTTCCTCAGCGGCCTTGGCAGCTTCCGGGCTGCCCTTGCGGCCCTTGGGAGGAGGGATGGGTGCGGCTCCCTCTGTGGCGCCCTCAGCTCCTTCCTGGCCCTCCGCCACAGTCCTCTCCTTCTTCAGGTTGAGCTTGGCCGGGACGGTCTTGGTGATGGTCTCCTTCAGCCTCTCGCCGGACTGCTTCAGCCTCTCTCCGGACTGGCGGATCTTCTCGCGCCTCTCGGCTGTCACGATGCGCTCGCCAAACTTGTTGACCTTGCTGCCCAGGTTCTCGCGGGTCTTGCTCATGTTCTCCTTGGAGAAGGTGGCTTTGAAGCTCTCGATGCGTGTCAGCCCCGTCTTCTTCATGCGGCCAGCCGCCGAGTCTGCCTCCTCCACCACCATGTACTCCTCATCCGAATCTGGAGGGAGCTCAAACTTGTCCGGTTCCACCGATGCTCTGGCGCCGGTGCTGCCGCTGGGTTCTGCTGGCTCATTGCCTGGTGCGACGGCCTTCACCTCCTGGTCACCCTGAGGAAGGAGAACACAGAACAGAGTATGAACCAGATTTTGTGGTGGTGAGAAACATGTCGTGCTTTAGATATAAAAACTGTATTTGTATTTCTAATTATTCGGATGGACAAAGTTTAATTGTTGACGTCAGGTTTAAATCGGTTTCTGGTTTAAATGTGTCATGCAGACTTTGGCCGTGAGCGTGCAGGCCTTGAGCCGGCCTCCATAAATAAACTGCAGCACCTGTTTCTGCAGCTCAGCTGCAGGAAGCTAAACATATCAACGAGCAGCAGTGTGCGCAGCAAAGCTGGATGACTTTCAGCTTCAGGCCACGTCATGGCATGCATCAGTCTCAAAGATCAGGTTACACTGAACATGAAATGGAGCAAAATGTTAAGGCCAAAGTTGCAAACTGACCCAGATCCCTGCAGACGGAATTCACTTTGGGAAGCTTGACCCTGATTCACAATCAGGCATTCATACTGGCAGCTGACCAGTACAACTGCAGCCTAATACTGGGAAACCGCAGACTGAGTCCCACAAGTAAACACAGTTAGCCAAAAACTAGCAGAAACCTTAGAAGTAAAGAACCACTTGTCAGCTAGTCACAAGCTGCAGCGTTATTGCTCCTAAAACTATGCACCAAAATCTGCGTGAGTCCATTTGAGAAAGAAAGTCAGTCTGATTAGTAACTCAGTTAAAATCATTATTAATGACTTTCAGTTGTTTAGAGAGGCAGTTTTCTACACTGTGATCTGTAGTGAAATTTGACCTGGAAAGTACTAAGCTGACTTTGTGGGGCCATAACGTTACTGGAGACCGGCTTCAACCTCCTTTAGAACAGCTAAGCTGGAAAGCAAGAAAATATTTTAAAAAGTCTTTACCGTTAATTTTCTATCCTGTCATCTGAGGAATGTAAAGTTTTCAGATCAGACCTTATTGATGGAATTCATCCAGTTGAATGAACTGTCCTGCTCGTTAGCAAACTAGTCTGTAACATGCTAATGAGATCATAAGGATATTTGATTACATGCATCATAGGCACTATATGACACCCGATAGAGAGGCTGACATTTTCAAAGCTTTGACAGAATGCATAACTGAGATAACTGAGGTGCACAGCAGGAGCATGTAGCAGAGTCCGCTAACAAACTAAAAGTAAGCAAAGTTTAAAAAATGCACCTGCCAACTCCTCAAGAGCTCATTAATTAACATGTTTTTATCTCGTTTGTGTCTTTTTTACATTTCTGTTTGTGTACACGCTGTTTGTAGTTTTGGGGGAGTTGCGTGTTGGAACAGTTTTTTTGTAGAACAACAGTTTTTGCAGACAGCATCTTCCTGAAGACTGAAGAGGTTTTGGTACCCTCATGCCTGTACAGAAATCAATTAATAGTCAAAGATCGTGCACAGAAGCATGGGCGGATGAATACACGGTTGTTAAACAAGTTCCATCACACAACTGCTTTCCAAAACAGATTAACGGATTAATGTTGCCTGTATGATGAATCAAATTTCAAGTATTGACTTTATTATTTGTGGTCCCTGTCAAATAAACTCGTAGATGTATAAATATGTAAATAAAAACACATTGACAATGTGTTAATCATTGAGCATTAGAAGTGTTGGCAGGTGTATTTTTAGAACTGTAGAAAGAGCCAGGCTAGCTGTTTCCCACTGCCTCCAGTCTTTATGCTAAGCTAGGCTAACCATGTCCTGACTCCAGCTCTGTACTTGTCATACAGGCTTGAGATTGTTATCCATTTTCTCATCTCACCACCAGTGATGCCAACTGTCCATCCTTTACATGTCAAGATTAAGTGCTACACATACAAGTCCTGAGGTTCGATACCCAGTCCAATTAAAAGTTCAAAAGTTTTGCTGTTTTCAGAGCATGAAACTGCAAAGGTGTCAGATGACGTATAACTTCCTGTTCCTTATTTAAATATTACAAGTCAAGACAATTGCTACACCGAACAACAAGACTGAACAACAACTTGTATTTAATATAGTTAATATAACATAACACAACAGAGCACAATAAGTTAAGAGTACAGCTTGAAGGCCTGCTGCTCGATTTAACTGTGGGCAGGAGAAGGGGTCAGAGAGGGAGGGTCAAAGGTCATGAGCCATTCAACCCCATGATGCCACAGTTATGTGCCGAACCCCCCACTGGTTCTGGATTTCCTCCATCAGTCTAACTAAAACTTGTCAGAACAAATCAAACAGCAGGTACCGTCTGTTAGCCGCTAACAAAATGATTTATAACCCTCGTCCAGGAGCTCGTTGTTAGCTAATACAGAGAGAGAGAGGAAGGGAGAGAGAGAGCAGGCAACTATATTAGGAGATGGTGGAGGTTCAGACTCAGAATAACCTGGTCTGTCAGCGCTCAGCTGGCACAGTCACTTACAGTCCAGAATCCACATACAGCTCTGCTAACTGAACACACTTTCAGTTGTTTTATTAACCACGATCTTTCCTTATTCTTAACAACACCACAGTTGCCATGTGCAGATATTGTAAAAAGGGGGTAGAAGACATTTAAACATGGGAATCCATCCAGCAGCTGCAGTTAGCCAATCACAGTGTCTTTCTGGGGTTTGATCAGCATGTGACCTCACTAACCGTACTGCAACCTCATTGTACATTACAAAATCCAGATTACAGTAATGAACCACACCCCACAGAGCTGTTCTTACATTTAATCTCAGTCAACAAGCTAGTTAGCATGCTAGCCTGTATGTTACACATATTGTAACTCGTCTATCTGTCGTACTCTATCGTAACATTCTGATATTTGGAAGTTACCATTATGTTTTCATGGTACACTACAACCAGTTAGTATGCTAACGTAAGCAACTAAGTACAACTGTATTTATATAGCACTACTTTTAACACACAGTAGGTTACAAAGTGATGTACATAAAAAGTATAAACATTAACATAAAATCATGAAGTGAAAAATGGCAAGGCTCACACAAGAAAAAAAACTAGTTGTTGGTTGTTTGCACAAGCATCTGTCTTTTATGACTAACATGGTATGAACTCTGAAATCTAAGTCATTACCAACATTTAAGTTTAGCAATATCTTTTTTTCTTTTTGCTTTAATTGGTTACATAAGAACCAATTACAAACTCAGCATTAGTATAAAGGGTGAACACTCCAAAGTGCGACGATCATACAAGGCAATAAAATTTGCAACTTGAGCTGCACTCAAATTTCCACACTGAAACCATCGGTCAGTCTTCAGCAGCACCTTGTCAAGATTAGAGAATTTAGTTTACTTTAGTGCTGAGTTATAACTGAAATATCAATTTGTGAATGATTATTTGGCTAATCATTCACAAATTGCCTTCTCTATGAGCTCCAGAGCTGTGGCGTAACATTTCAGCATACTGACGTTTATCCAGGGCTAAAATAATCAAGTCACCGTCATACTGGCAGCTGCTAACTGTGAAGGCCAAAGAAGTAAAATTAAGCCTGCTCTGTGTGTGTGTTGCTATTTCAACCCCTAGAACAAACCCTCAGATGTGAATCAGCAGGGACCTAAAATCATCACTTACAAGTGTCTTCTGAAGGCAATCACTTCATTCCAGAGCTAAACACAACATTTTGACTATACTGTGGATCTCAGTTGGTTTTAATGTCAATACCAGTATCGGTAGTCTAGATCTTAAGTGCATAGACACACAACCGCTGACCCGTTGAACGGATCAGAAGTACATTTTACAGTGCATATACTTGTGTAGATGTAGGTTAGTCTGATGCTGTATGCCCGTTTATAGAAGAGAATCAACATTCCTCTGCCCTGATGCAAGAAGATTTCAGCAATCAATTCCCAAGAGGCAGTTTGTCAGAACCCCAAATGTCCGTTTCTTGGGGTATATACTATGAGGTATTGATAGAAACCAGAAAGTACTTGTAATTGGAACAGATCTTTTCTTTTCAGCCAAACTACAAAGCATCTGTGAGTCTTACCTGATAAATGACCACCCTGAACTTGTTCTTGGCCAGGAGGTCGCCCTGGGTGGCCTCCACCTTCTTCACCCTCATGTTCTGATTCTCCACACGCACCCTGACGTCCTTGATGTGGCGGCTGACCTTACGCGTCTTCTCCAGTAGCCGGTCGACAGTGGAACTAGTATTGGCGTGGTCGTTGGTCAGCTTGACGACGTCGGTCTGGATGGTCTTTACCGTGTTCTCCAGCTCCAACTGACGTTCCTCCATACGCTTCTGCGTGGTCTGGACGCTGTCCATGAGGCCCGCCACACGCTCCAGCAATGCCATGATGCTTCCTGCATCATCTCCGCCACCCGTTCCCATACCTGGTTTGTCTGTCATACTTGCTTGTCGATTGGGTTTTGCGCCTGCTGTTGACTTGTCTATTAGTTGCCTGGTTGATTGGTTGATCCAAATGTAAAATGGAAGGCGAGATGACGAAGAGTAGGGTGGACGAATGTTGAAATTAACAGCGAAATCTTGGACTTTAGAATAAAAAAAAAAGATCAAAGCCAAGAAAAATACAAGGATTAGGGTTGAAGCATTGGGGGATCCAAAGAAAGAGAGGCAGTATAAGGGAGAAGGAATAGAAACCTCCTCTGTAAGGAGAAGGAGAGAAAGGAGGAGGCCAGGAGTACCGGATCACCCCTGGACAACTGGAGGTTGATTCTGAAACTGGTCAGATCAACTGTGGACTCCACCCTGCTGGGAGAGGGAGGGACAGGAGTTAAGAGTATAAAGAGTTGGATGGAGGGGGGAGTCGTGATGCTAAAAAGAGAGAGAAGACAAAGTTGAGAGGACGGAGTATTATTGATTTTTAACAATGTTTAGTCAATGTTTTAACATTGTAGTGGTAGATTTTAAAGTGAGTGACCAGACTAATAAATGTACACAAGTTTATCTTGGGTCGTGCTCGACATCTGAAGGCGAAACGAACTATCTGCAAACTTCCCATCAATCATACAATTTAAAACAGAAATTGGATATTATAGGAATGTAAGTGTTAATGAGCGAGACAGATAAAGAGTGACATGGATCCCTGCTCCTCTCTGTGTTCTCTGCTGCTAAAAATACTGTGAGGGTAAAGTGACTCCCTGCACCTCTTTGGGAGATGACTGCATTAAAAGGAATGGAAACCCCCTCCCATCCATTCCTCCATCATCCATCTATCAACTGTCCCCTTTTCACTTGTTCTCTCTTAATCCCTCCCACCAGGTTTAGACTTTTTTAGCGTCCCCACGCTCCAAATGAACATCTAGGTTTCCTAATAGAATTCCTCATGGTAACGCTCGCCACTGCTGCCATCTTTGTTAGTTACTGGAGCCAGATAGTCTGCACTTGGGCAAATAGGGTGAAGCTTTGGAGGAGCTGAGGTGGGATGAGCAAGCAGAAACCAGCACAACTGAGTGAGACAACTTTGAGTCAATGCAAACACACCTTAAATTGACTAATTTCAAGCCTTAATATCTAATCAGTGCCATGTTAGTTTTAATAATTTCCTCATAGATTCACAAACAAAAGTCAAAGTCAATGAAAAGATGTGAGTGGATGTGAACACATGGGAATTTGCTGTAGGTGCCATGAAAACTAGTGTACTACAAAGGTCTGGTGAGCCCCAGATTTTTTTCAATGTGAAACTTGTACTGTTCACCCCCGACCGAAACAGGAACCTCCGGATCTGAGAAGTGAAGCCAATGCTGAAAAGCCTTTTGAAAAGCCTGCTTGTATAGAAGTCTATGAGAAAATGAGGCTACATCTGAAATACTTTCCTAGAGTACCACAACGACCTGTCTGGCGTTGCATGGCGTGTCCCTCCCCAGCTCCAACCTCTTGTCCCAATATGGCCACTTCTGGTTCCAAGAAAACAAGATGGCAACGGCCAATATGCCAAGCTTCAAAACGGTAGTCTGACTCAGTTGACGACAATTGAGGAGATTTATCAGACATCTCACAGATCCACACTCAAGGCTTTACACTACTTGTTTCACATGCAGCAGGACTCCCCAACACCTGGAAACCCACACTGATGTGGGAAATGGGTGGCGGTTCCCCCTTATGTTTCAAAATCTTTTGATCAAATCTGAATCTGAGCTGGAATACAGAGAGTTGGTACATGGTCTTAGCAAGCTAAAGCTAATCTAGCTTTAATGTAACATGGCTGCAAACATGCACCAACCGGCTGTCTATGTGTAACTGAGGTTGGAACTGACTGCTCCACCTAAATTTATGTTTATGTTTTTGGACCAAGTGATTATTTCCATTAGATCACCCCTCTGGGCTACATTTCTGAAGGGTTGATCTTGTTTTATATTTGCTTGGGAAAGGATGGCGTTCAGTGGATAACACCAATGAAGAGAATGTAACTGTTAACATTTGTGAACATGAGCGTACAAAGTCTTGAGATTTCATCAAGGAACAAGATGGATACCGTGTTTGTGGACAGCTCCTTTGCACCCCTAAAAAGTGTCATGTCATAGTTGGATCTTTAAAGAGCGGTACCCTTGAAACATCAGAAAACTTCCGAAACCATGGAAGGCAGCCAAGTGACATACAGAAGAAAGAAGATGAGAAAGAAAGAGGGCGCAAATGAGGCGAGGTGAGAAAGGAGGAATGGAATCAGATGAACACATAAGGGGACTCCCCACCGTCTAAAAACCTCCACCAGCTGCTGCCTATAATTAACCGCAGTCACTGCTATATTTACCTCCACCTCCCTGTAGAAGACATGGATGCTTTGACAACCACCAGGAGCGCTTGGTTTTCAGTCCTCCTTCACTACAGGTTGGTGGAGTCCTCAGGTTAAAGTGATAATATGCCTACAGTTCAATGATTCAAAGGAGAAAGTGTTTGATTTGATTAGAGGGTTAAGTTAGCGTGATTTTGTATGTAAAAAACTGTCAGTTTTTGAAGCTAGAAAATTTCAGCACTGGGGATGGGTGAGATGAATATGATTGGCTGAAACACCTGTCAACCAACCCAAAACCCTATTTCTCTTTATCCAAGGAAGGTTAAAGCCAAGGGCAACTGGACTTTGTTGAAGATACTTTCAGAAGACTCGTTCGTCCCTCATCCAAGAGACTTCTTCATTGGAAGTTGGCCTCAGGTCAGGACTCAGCCGTTTATTTATATCTGATGGATAAAGGAAACTCATTTGAGGATCATCAGGTGCACATTTTAGACAGAAGATAGATGGTTTGAAAGAGGTGTCAAGGAAACCATCTACACCCGGGTGGAGAAGCCAGGAGCACTAATGAACCAGCGGAATCGATCATCTTAGCAAACTGAACTGAAGAACTCCCTTGGATGAGGGACGAAGCGTCTTCCAGTATCTTCTACCAAGTCCAGTTGCCCTTGATTTTAACCTTCCTTGGATAACTATGACCTGGATGACTGAGAACCTTCAGACATATTTCTCTTTAAGCATGAGTATCTTCAAATGAAACACAACATTCACAAATGAGTTAAATTCTATACTGATGGCTGAAGTAGTGTAAATATGTGGTAAATTTGTATTCCAGTCGGAGCTTCCTTGGAGCAGCATCTAGTGGCCATTTGAGGGACTGCATGACATGGCACCTTCAAGACTCAGCTGCATCACCATCCCCCACCACACAGGTGCTGCATTTCCTCAGGTGGCTGAGGTAGGAATATTTACCCTTCTATGTTTGTGTGTTTTAGTTATTATTATTTGTTGTCTGCCGCGCCGGCTCAGATTCCCGTGAGCTGGAATGATCTAGAAACATGAAACATGGGGGAATAACTGGAAATGGTGTGCATCAGCAAAATAGATAAAATAATAATATAATAATAATAAATAGAAATATGAACTCCAGCGCTGTAAATAAGGCTTAAAAATGCAAACTTTGAAAGGCCACGCCCCTCACGCTGTAAGTCCGATTGACTTGAAATTTCTCACACAGGTGCAGCTCAATGTGCTCTACAAAAAAAGCCTTTTGAATTTTTTAAAAATCACATTTTTGACATCTCCTCCTAGACTGTAGCTCCGATTGCCACCAAATTTTCAGTGAATCATCATTGGATCCAGCCTATTAAGAGTTGTATAAAGCATGTCGATATCTCAATTACTTTTCAAGATATGGACCAATGAACTTTGAAAGGGGCGTGGCTCTGGACATAAGAACATAAATCAGTTTGATGTACATACGTCACTAGAGGGCGCTATAAGTGCAAGAAAGGTGCTTAGCATTACACAAATTACACTATAAATCCCATATTCATTCTCCAATCATCACAAATCTCTCAGGATGTGTCCTCATAAGTAACTGAAACTAGCGCTATAAATGCAAACAAACTGCAGGCAATATAACGCAAATCAGGCTGATTAGGTCTGCATAACAACTCATTGCTTTTAGTCCCTGTCATCTGCAGTGTTACATTTTATTAGTGATGCAGCAGTCTTTCAGTGTTTTATGGACAAATAAGAGAATTTTAGTTTTATTTAACGATTTTCAACTTTACTGCGCCGTGGCTTTCAACAACCAGTTATGGCTACATAAATATGATAAAAGGCGGTTGTCCCTGCCATTCATGGTGGGTTGGAGGATTGTTGTCTACTCAATGTTATCAAAATTATGATCCAAATCAAATCATACTGCCAAAAAGACACAATGGAAAACCATAAGGGCCTAGATTTAATATTTCAATTCCTTCCCAGCAGTATAGCAATAACCCTAATGAGATAATTAATTAAATTGACGTGACTTGTTTAAGGGCAAACGGACGGAGGGATTAACCAATTTAAAATAATTTAATTTAAGATTTTGCTGAACTCTTCACTCGTCCATTCTGAGCTGATGAGCTTCCTGCTGCTGAAGCTGCAGTAGATCCAGACTGAAACAGGCTACAGCAGGGAAAAGGTCGAGAAGGATTGAGATTTGATATCTTCAAACTCCTTAAAGCATCTTCAAACAGAGAAGTGTGAACAGATCGAAGGGAAGACACGGTGTTTTCGAACATCATAATTTAATTCTAGTTCATCTACAGCACACTCTAAATGACATCTTCACTGGTTCATGCAGTACGCAACATCTACAGTAAAATCAGGCTGGATTCCCCACAGGCATCACGTGACCGAGGCCGCAGCTTCACCACTGCATCAAAGCGTCAAATAAATCTGATCTCAGTGCAGCGATGCTTCAGGGAACCTCCCAGCTTATTGAGTCTACTCCTTCTACCACATTAAAATGACCAACACGGACACTTCGTACCATCGTTACAAATTATATATAAAAAAGAAGAAACTCGACCAAACAAACAAAGTCATTTAAATTATCATCACCTTGTCAAAACACACAAAAAACAACATTGGAATCCATTTCCTGAATGGCGTCATCTGAAAATTAAGCAATAAAATAATAATTCGAACAACAACCTGTACATGTCAGCTTGTACCGTATCACTTTTTAAGCAGTAGAAAAAACAGCATTTTGGTTTTCAGGTGCGTCTCATCATAACAAATACAAAAAAAACAAAGTAAAGTTTATCTGAGTTACATGAAATCGTACTTTAGGCCCTGTGAGACGCAGCAAAGCAGAAAACAAAGCATCAGGTGTGAGCCCACTTCAGCAACAATACCCAAGACAGGCTTCAGTGGTCCCTCATAATCCTGTAGTCCTGGTACAGAGCGCCCCCTGGAGTATTAAGGCTTTTATAACACAAACAGGTTCAACAC